TTTTGAAGTTCATTTTTTGTTTCTTCTATTACCCAGTAGTTTTGGGGAGGGTGTTATTCAGTTTGCATGTGTTTGTTTGTTTGTTTTCCCTTGATCTTCCTATTATTGGTTCCTAGTTTTATAGCGTTGTGATCTGAGAGGATGCTTTGCAGTATTTTGATGCTTTTAAATTTCTTGTGACTTGCTTTGTGGCCTAATACAAGGCCTATTTTGGAGAATGTTCCACATGTTCAAATTAGTCAAGTTACAGAAGCACATTTGGAGCCCTGGTTTTTAAAGCAAAAGCAGTCAAGGAGGTGGATAAAACAGTACAAATCAGATGTGAAAATAAAAAGGAAAAAAAAAAGCTTAAAAGCAAATCTAAAAGAATCAAACTGTTTCCAAGTAACTTAACAGCAACCCAGAACAAAGCCCAAGAGTATAGAAATACAAAAATATCCAGCACGAAACCCACTGTCATCAGACTCATAACGACCATACAGGACAGAGTAGAATTGCTCCATAGGGTTCCCTAGGCTGCTATTCTTTACTGAAGCAGACTTTCACATCTTTCTCCCATGTAACTGCTGGTGGATTCTAACCATAGACTTTCCATTAGCAGCTGAGCTCTTTAACTACTGTGCCACCAGGACTGCTATCCAGCACCAAGTGAGATAAAATTCACTATGCCTGGCATCCAACCAATTCCCTAGCCAAGGGACAGAAGCAAAAAAAAAAGGAAGAGAAAAGAAAAAGAGTATCTACCTCAGACACCCTATGAATGTTGGTTTCCCCTTCTCCCGTTTTAAGGCTATAATTTTTCTCTTTACACACCTAAGTGTTGTTCAACTCATTACAATGAATATATGTTACTATAAATCAAACCCACTGGTGTCAGTCAATTCTGACTCATAGTGACCCTATGGGACAGAGTAGAGCTGCCCCATGGGGTTTCCAAAGCTGTAAATCTTTACTGAAGCAAACTGACACATTTTCTCCTGGGGAGAGGCTGACCTTTTTGTTTAGCACCCTAGCACTTTAACCACTGTGACACTAGGGCCCCCTCTGCATTACTATACTTATTTGAAAAGACTTGTGAACAAATGAATCAAGACAAGAACACCAAGCAAAAAGGGGAACAAGAGTAGTTTATGCAGATCTTCAAAATTGAGAATATACTTGCAGTACATTTTGAAAACACCCATGGCTATTTATGGTGAAATTTTTGTTTTTTGTCTTTGGCTTAAGATTTAAGACGTGTCAGTCTGCCTTCGTAAAGATTCATAGTGTTGGGAACGATATGGGACCTTTCTACTCTGTTCTACAGGGTTTCTGAGTCAGAATCGACTGATGGCAGTGGGTTTGTTTATGTATTTCTGGGTTTTTAATTGGCAGGTTTTAATTTTTCACAAGTACTTCTGAAAAAGGAAAAGAAAGAAACAAACAACACCCTTCACTAGTAAATTAGCTGCCTTTTCATTTCGCCCCACCCCACCGCGTCCACCTTTGGGTCAGAGCGGTTCTGGCTAAAGACGCCCCTAGCCTTGCTCTGTCTCCCTGGAACCTGCCTGCCCTGTCCCAGGGCAAACAGAACTGCAACTTTGGCTCCATCTGCCCCGATTGTAAACATGTCCTATACCTCCACTTTTTCCCTCCAGTGAAATCTCTTTCTGGCATGGCGTGGGAACAGCTAAGGTGGTTGATGAAGTGAGGGAAAGGGGAGGGGAGGGAGGAGAGCACGAAGAAGCCAGACGCAGGGAGCCAGGGAAGAGGTACCGGGCCGAGACGGGCAGACAAAAGGACCACTCAGTAGCGAGAGGGAGAAGCGACAGTAAAGCGACCGTACACCATGTGGGCAGGGGGAGGAGGGAGAGCAGAGAGGGGACACGAAGGCTGAACGCCCAAGCAGCTGACCCCAGATCTCGAAAGACGAGCTGGGGCAGAGGGCTCTGTAGGCGCTGGGGGTGCAGGACTCTTGTGTCGGAGGGCAAATCCCGGGCGTCACCAGCCCCTGTCCGTAGCCGTCCGCGATGAACGAGGCCAGTCGAGTCTGTACTGGCTACTACAGCCTGAACCACAGCTTCGTGGAGGCTTTCCAGTGTCCCCGGAGCGGCGACGGGGCCGCGCTGCTTTTCTGCTGTGGCTTCGCAGACCTCAAGTACTGCTGCAGCGAGCCGGGCAGCTACTTCCCCTACAAGCACAGCTACATGTGGAGCCTGAGGTGGGCAGGGCGGGGAGAGGCTGGGAGAAGAGCTGGAGCCCCGCAGGGGGCAGCCGGCCGAGCAAGGGATCTGGGCCAGCGACGAGCGAGCCCGCGACCCCCCGGAACTAGTCCCTTCTTCTGAGAAACCTCGCCTCGGGGATCGGGGCTGTGGCTGCCAGAGGTAACCCAGGCTGTGAATCTGCCAGGTGACCTGAGGCGAGAAGCGCGGGAGGAACGTGGGCTCTGCGCCTTGGGCGCACACCAGGCGCTCAGGGCTGGCCTTATTCAGTTCACCTCCTAGTGGGAGTGGAGTCCTCTCGGTTCTCGCCCGGGAACCAGACAGAGGAACGTGGCGGCTTTTCGGGAAGAGAGAGAAGCTACATGCAGAAAACTTGAAAGGAGGTTTTAGTTTTCTTTTTGGCTCTTTTGGGCACTTGGTGTATTTGAATAGAAAGCGGCTCCTTTAGCCACATTAAGGCATTAACCAAGAACAGAGTGTTTTAAGTCTCTCTGGTATTGAAGATTTGGCCGTATTCTTTAAATTATCAGCAAGGGGTGTGTGTCCGTCTGTCTGTCTGTCTGGGTAAGTGTGTGCATACAGATGTGTGCGCGCGTGAGGTTTATAATTTACCCTTTCCAGATGTTTTGACATTGACCCTGAACCTAAGAACCTAATAAAAGAGAGACCCACTGAGCTGTTGAGCCTTTCCAACTTCTGACCCATTTGTCCGTTGCTGAAAAGTGAAGACTTTCCAAGGCGTAGTCTTTCTGGTCTTTTTTTCCTAAGTGGGAATTTTATTTACTCGAACTAGACTACTAAACACAAAGTCAGCTTTTCAAACCCACCAGCCACTCCGCAGGAGGAAGATGAAGCTATCTGCTTCCCTAAAGATTTAAAGCTTTGGAAACCCAAGGGGGGGGGGGTCACTGTGAGTCGGAATCAACTCGATGGCAGTGGGTTTTTTAGTGTTTATATCAACAATTTAGTAATAAAGCGCTTTTACACCCTATCCACCCTAAATGACTGCCAATTTTGAATTTTTTTTTTTTTTTTTCATTTTGCCTAGTTAATGAATGGAGCACCAAGATTGTAACAAAGAACCCTACCTCCACCTTAAATTGTCTCTTACAAAACTAAGTTAGGTCTGGAAAAGTGAAAAATACTGCCTGCAAGAGAAGACTATTGTTTACTCTAGCATGATCCAAAATTTGGCACACATGCCAAATCTACAGCATATAGACTTTTAAAATCATGTCTTGAAGCAATGAAATACACTTTTCTATATTCTAAGCTTCAAAAAGTCTCAAAAGGAGTACTCACATATCAGTAAGCTCAACTCACAAAGTTCTATTGTGCTGGAGTGGGACAAAATGTTGGGAAAAAATGACAAGTTATCCTTGAGTTTAGTGGATTATTTGGGGAAGAAATCTGTATTGCACTGGCATATTATCTGGACTTTGAAAAAGTAATATAGTAATTCTGCTGAGTCTTTGGAGGTGTTAATAATTGTAGCAGCGCCTCCAATGGACACTGGCAACTCATAAGTCAAACCCAATTGGAAAAGTGCCTGATATTCTCAGATCCCCAAATAGCTCCAAAGTGACAAGCAGCAGAAAATATAAAACCTTCCCAAAATTTATGAAGGGGCATAAGAGTGAACAGCATGCTGGAGTCTTCATTTAGCACTGACAAAATGGACCATTTATTGTTTCTGGGAAATATAAATATCATATCAACTGAAGGTGTCAGTTAGCAACGTTAAACCTGGGGTTCTTGTGTGTTATTGTACTCTAAGAATACAATGGGGAGACAAATTTATTAGAGCTTCATCTCACTCATATTGTTTGGTTTTCACCCCTAATTTAATATAGTCAAACTGAGAAAAATATTCAGGAGTCGCTAGCATGTGTTCTGAGATTTTGCAGCTGCTGGAGCTACCACGAGGGAAGTGAAATTCCTAATTAGGGAAATTGCTGCATTAATGTGGCAACAGTTTTAGACCCTCTCTCGGGGCTTGGAAAATAATTGTTGTATGGTGCTTCAAGGAAAGAATAATATTTCTCCTTCTGTCAAGCTCACCTCCATCTTTCTCCTCTTAAAAATCTCAAACCCTTATGGTTTCCTTTGGAATCCTTCTCCAGCACCATGCTCCAGGAAAACAATGCTTATTGCGTAGGGCTATGCATGAATAGATATTCCATAAAAATGTTTTGAAATGTATATTTTAAGAGACCCATAGAGCTCCTTGTTTATCTAGAATGTATACCCAGAGTTCTCCACACATAAAGCAAAGTTTCTATAAAGTGGAACTGTGTCACTGAAATAGTTTGTCATGATTATGACATGCATGAGCATAAACTCACTCCAAGTTTTTGTTTTGCCTAGTCCAATTTTTTCAATTGTGTCCATTAAAAGGCCATAATATATATATTGAATTGAATTCAACTGATATTTACACTTTGCATATTTCGTAACAATTGGGTTCCCATTTTGGGGAATTTTTCCAGATGTCTCATCTCCTATCTGGCTTATGCAATAGATTATATTAAGCGGATTACTTTCCATGCATCTCATGGTTAGGTGTCCTCAGTTCTGACTCAAAGTGACAGAATGAAGCACTGCCCAGTCCTATGTCATCCCGACAATACCTCACAATCATTGCTGTGCTTTAGCCCATTGTTGCAACCACTGGGTCAGTCTATCTCATTGACAGTTTTCCTCTTTCTCACTGATCCTATACTTTTCTAAGTATGATACCCTTCTTCAGGGACTGGTCCCTCCTGATAACATGTCTACAAGTATGAGAGATGAAATCTCACCATCTTTGCTTCTAAGGAACATTCTAGCTGTATTTCTTTCTAGATAAATTTGTTCATTCTGGCAACATGATATAGTCCTTTTTTTTTTTTGCCAACATCATAATTCAAAGGCATCAATTCTTCTTTGGTCTTCCTTATTCATTGCCCAGCATATGACGTGATTGAAAATACCATGGCTTTAGTCTGGTGCACCTTCATCCTTTTACAGTCTACAAAATTGAGCAGCTTTGATGCAAACAAGCACAAAAGAAGAGTTTCCAGACAGATTCTACTCTTTAGAAGATTGTGTATCAAATGAAAGTAAACTTCATGTTTAAGTATATAAACTATATGCTGACTCCAGTCATAAGATTTTAGCTTTTTATTGTGATTTGGATGAAAGTTTACAGAGCAACTTAGTTTTCCATTTAGCAATTCACACACATTTTGTTTTATGACATTGATTGCAGTCCCTATAATGTAACAAAACTCTTCCCACTTCCTTCCTGTGTTTCTTGTTTCCTTTGGTCCTTCTTTTCCTACCCATTCCTGCCAGATGAGCTTTATACCTGGGAAAGTGCTACTCTTTTGGTCTTGTGTGGTTGGTTTTTCTAAGATGTACCTCCCTGGCATTATTGTTCACCTTATAGGCCTCTCTGTTTGGCTAAAAGTTGAGCCATAGGGTTAAGTTCAGCTCCAGGCTTCAAGGATAACTAAGGTCCATAGTCTTAGGGGTTCCACCAGTCTCTATCAGACAAGTAAGCCTGGTCTTTTTGTGATTTTGAGGTTTTTTTCCGTATTTTTCCCCCACTCTATCTAAGACCTTCTATTATGATCCCTTTCAGAGTGGTTGTTTGGTGGTAGCTGAACACTATTTAGTACTTCTGGTCATAGGGTGGTAGAGTCTGAGGTTCACGTGGTCCATTAGTCCTTTGCACTTTCTCTTTTATTTATTTATCTTTAAGTTTATTGTTCTTTGGGTGCAAATTTACAAATCAAATTTGTTTTACATTCAACAGTTCATGCACATTTGATTTCACACTTCAATTTCCATCCTTAACCCTAACAAACTCTCCCCTCACTACTGTCCCTGTGACTACTCCCTCCCTGTCCCCTTCTTAACCATGCATTCCTGTCTGTCCAGCTTTCGCTCTATATGAATGCTGCCTCTCTGGTGTCTCATGGCTGATTGCTCTAAAGGGTGCATCTCCCCAGAGTAGGCGAGTGCATCACCCAGGGGTAGGGTGTTCTGTGCATAGGTCTTCCTACTGTTGGAATGAGAGCCAATCCATGGGAGTAAGCCCATTTCTAGGCCTGAAGGGTAACCCAGGGCTGTAGTCTTGGGGATTCCACCAGACTCTATCCAACCAGTAATTCTGGTCATTTTTGTATTTTTGAATTTTATTCCACATTTTTCCTTCCACTCTATCTGGGATCTTCAGTTTTGATCTCTTTCCAAGTGATTGGCATACATAGCCAGGCACCATCTAGTTCTTCTGGTCTTGGGGTTGTGAAGGTTGAGATCCTTGTGGTCCATCTTATCTTTGGACTAATTTTTTCCAGATGCCTTTAATTTTGTTCACTCTTCTTTGACTTAGACAAGAGGAGATCAATAGCTGCATCTTCATCCTTGATTTTCTATCTTCTTTGCTCCAGATGGTGAGAGACCATTAGCTGCACCTTAGATGACTACTCTAAGCTTTTGAGACCCCAGTCACTACTCACCAACATAGGATATAGAACATTTTCTTTGTGGACTATGTTATGTCAATGGACCCAAGACTATGGTCCAGAACTTCAAGGTTCAGCAACTCATTTCAAACAACTCAACAGTTGTTTTGCTATGGATAAGAAGTTTTCATAACTTTGCCCCCTAATGCTCTTCTATTTTCATAGATATATTTGCAGCACATATGAATACATATATAGAAATATCCTCTGTCAAATCTATATATATATTCTTGGGTGTGGTCCCATTTGCCTTACCACACCTGTTCATTTTGCATATCTATTTATGTATCAACTCATAGATTATTGTTATTACTGTTATTACAGGATTGTGTATGTAGTAGTACTTACCTCTGTTGCCTTTAATTCTTGTATTTCTCCTAGTATCTTCCTTTGTCTTGATCATTTTATGCTGACCTCCCCTTTACTGCATACTGCCTTTCCTTTCACCCAAGTTAATATGTATCTACCCTCTGTTGTTGTTGTTAAGTGCCATCAAGTCATCTCCAACTTATACCGACCCTTTGTATAGCATAACAAAGCACTGCCCTGTCCTGCACCATCCTTACAATCCTTGCTATGCTTGAGCCCATTGTTGCAGCCACTGTGCCAATCCATCTTGTTGAAGTTCTTCCCTTTTTTCTCTGACCCTCCATCTTAGCAAGCATGATATTCTTCTGCAGGGAATGATCCCTCCTGAGCACATAACCAAAGTAGGTGAGATAAAGTCTGGCCATTCCTGCTGCTAAGGGGCATTCTGGCTGTACTTTTTCCAGCATAGATTTGTTTGTTCTGGCAAACTAAAACTCCAAACTCACTGCCATCAAGTCGATTCCAACTCTCTTTGGGTTTCCGAGGCAATAAAACTTTATGGAAGTAGGTTGCCCAGTCTTCCTCCCATGGAGTGGCTGGTGGGTTTGAACCACCAACCTTCTGGTTAGCAGTCAAATGCCTTAGGCATTATGCCACCAAAGTATGTAGTATTTTCAGTATTCTTTGCCAACACCACAATTTAAAAGTGTCAATTCTTCTTTGGTCTTCCTTATTCAGTGTCCAGCTTTCACATGCACATAAGGCAATTGAAAATACCATGGCTTGGGTTAGGCACACTTTAGTCTTCAGAGTGACATGTTAGCTCTTCAGCACTTTAAATAGGTGTTTTGCATCAGATTTGCCTAGTGCAATATGATGTCTGATTTCTTGACTGCTGCTTCCATGAATGTTGACTGGATCCAAGTAAAATGAAATCCTTGACAACAGTCAATCTTTCTCCATTTATCGTGATGTTGCTTATTGGTCCAGTTGTGAGGATTTTTGTTTTATTTATGTGGAGGTGTAATTCATACTGAAGACTGTAGTCTTTGATCTTCATCAGTAAATGCTTCAAGTCATCTTCACTTTCAGCAAGCAAGATTGTGTCATCTGCACATTGCAGGCTGTTAATGAGTTTTCCTCCAATCCTGATACTGCATTCTTGTTCATATAATCCAGTTTATCAGATTATTTGCTCAGCATACAGATTGAATAAATATGGTGAAATGATACAACCCTGATACATAACTTTCCTGACTTTAAACCATGCAGTATCAACTTGCTCTGTTTGAATTACTGTCTCTTGGTCTATGTAGAGGTTCCTCATGAGCATAATTAAGTGCTCTGGAATTTCATTCTTCAAAATGTTGTTCATAATTTGTTATGATCCATATAGTTGAGTGTGTTTTTATAGTCAGTAAATATCTTTCTGGTATTGTATTCTTTCAATCAAGATCCATCTGACATCAGCAATGATATCCCTCACTCCCTATCCTCTTCTGAGCCTGGGCTTGAACTTCTAGAAGTTCCAGGTCTATGTACTCCTGCAACTGTTATTGAATTATTTTCAGCAAAATTTTATTTGTGTGTGATATTAATGATAATGGCCAATAATTTCCACATTCTGTTGGGACACCTTTCTTTGGTGTGGACACAAATATGAATCTCTTCTAGTCAGTTGGCCAAGTAGCTGTCTTCCAAATTTCTTGGTACCAAATTTCTTAGTATAAAGTAACCACCTCTTGAGCTGCATCCATTTGTTGAAACATCTCAGTGGGTGTTCTGTAGTTCCTGGAGCTTTGTTTTTTGCCAGTGCTTTCAGTGCAGCTTGGATTTCTTTCTTCTGGATCATCAGTTCTTGATCATATGCTACCTCCTGAAATGGTAGAATGTTGGCCAATTTTTTTTGGTACACCAGCTCAGTGTGTTCCTTCTATCTTATTTTGATGTTCCTGTATCATTCAATATTTTGCCAATATATTCCTTCAATATTATAGCTTGAGACTTGAATTTTTTTCTTCAGTTGTTTCAGCCGAACCAGTCCTTCCCATATGATTGTCTAACTTCAGGTCTTTGTGCATTTCATTATAGTACTTTACTTTACTTTGTCTTCTTGAGTCTTCCTTTGAAATCTTTTTTCAGCTCTTTTATTTCATCATTTCTTCCTATCCATGAGCATAATATAGTCTTCTATTTGTATAGGTCTCCTTTGGGGTTAATTCTTAAGTACTTCATCTGTTGGGTGGCTTTTGTAAATGATACTGTTTTCCTGATTTCCTTTTCAGAGATCTCTTTGTTAGTGTTAAGGAATCAGATTGATTTTTGTATGTTTATCTTGTACCTTGCCACTTTCCTGACTTCTTTTATTAGTTTCAGTAGTCTTTTTGTTGAGTCTCTGGGATTTTCATGTATAGGATCATATCATCTGCAAATAGAGATAATTTTACTTTTTCTTTGCCAAACTGGATGCCTTTTATTTCCCTTTTGCCTTATTGTTCTGGTTAGGACTTCTAATACAATATCAAATGGGAGTGATGATAAGAGCATCCTTGTTTAGTTTCCATTTGCAAGGAGAGTGCTTTCAATCTCTCCTCATTGAGACTAATCTTGTCCATTGGTTTTGTGTGTATACCCTTAATTATGTTGAGGAATTTCCTGTCTATTCCTATTTTGTTGAGCATTTTTGTCAGTAATGGGTGTTGGATGTAGTCCTGAGGTTACTCAGTGTTCACTTGCATGCAGGTTGGTAGAACTGGGCTGACATTCTTAAACTGATTACAAGAATCTCTGAAAGTATGACTTCATGTGGGTGGCTAGGAGGCAATCTCTAAATTGCAGGGGTGATTTATCTTCTGAAGTGAAGGGTAAGTGGATTGGGCTTAGCTTTTGATTTTTAGTTGTTTTTCTTCCTCCCAAAGTAATGATGATCCTAGTACCTCTGGTCAAATTCTCCCTTCCTTCCCTTCTGATACAAGTGAGGACCCTAATCCCTGGGAGATAGCAGAAGCCTAAAGGCAAACTAGAAATGTAGTGAGGAATGATACATGAATGATAATGAAGAATGATATATGACTGATAATGGAGAATGATATGTAAGAAGACAATGATTCATGTGCCGGTTACTATAGGTAGATCAATCAGCAGTCAGTTATTATTTACTTCAATTTAAAGAACATTTATTACAAGCTAATCATTCTATTAAACACTTTAAAGAAGTGTGCAAAATACTATGAGAAAGTCAACAGAAATAAGTATGCTTGAGAGGCTGAAATCTCATTATATATATTTTTACACATACACACACATACATATTGTTCAAGAAGTAGAGTGTTTAAGTTTGAAAATTGGTCTTTCAAGATAATTCTCTTTTTTCCAACTTCCTTTCCCACTTAATAGTATTAAGTTCACAAGTTTATAAAAACTATATTATTCTTCAGTGATTAGCTTTATTAGTAACTGCATCAGAGGGAATTATTAAAACATGATCATTTTTTCTGTGAGTAACTGATAAAATCAGATACACATTTTATTTTCAGAGAATAGTGCAAAGGTTTCTTTCTTAAGAAACCTTTGAAAGCCAGAAGCCATTTATATTATGTTCTTTTAGAAAGTAGAAACTCACACTGAACATAAACTTTATATAAATTTCATACTTTTTTTAATTTTTAAAATTTGAATATTCTCTTCCTTTGTGATTGTTGTGTTTTTGTGTACCAGTGAATGCTATCTTCCATATTTATCTCCAGTTCTACATTGCTGGTAAACATTTGCTTCACCACTTTTGCAGAAGGAAATTTTTTTTTTTCATTTGTTATTGGAGAGCCTGAACTTTCCTTCTAAAGTATATTCATAATAGAAGTTTACTTGAATACAATGTCTTTGAACTATCTCTAGAGAATCATGTGACATTTTACTTGTAGTATACATTCATATGGTCTCCCATACTCATATTAACATATAGAGTTAAAAGACACTAAAACTTATGCAGAAAATATAAGAATTTGATAGTAGAAAAAGATGAGCAATAGATTTTAACCATACAATATTTATGCTAAAATATAATCTGGTTATGATTGATTAAGAACAAGAATTAATATTTCAAACTCTTCTTTAGTTTATTTGCAAATCTCTTGTGTGACAGTTATACTCAATGTTTTGTCTTTTTTTTTTTTTTTTCCTTAGCATTGGTGCCCTGATTGGACTGGGAATTGCTGCCCTTGTTTTACTTGCTTTTGTCATCAGTGTCTGCGTCCTTTGCTATTTATTTCTGTATACAAAGCCTCAAAGATTAGACACTGGCCTTAAACTTCAACACATAGAAGCTTCTTCCGTTAAAGAAGGTAATCAGTATCTATTATTTGTAACCAATTATCTGTATTCTATCCAAAAGAATAATCTGTACCTGGGTACTAGATCATAGTGTTAACAAGGAATGCTTTTTAAAATTCAATTTATTATGTGTCTTTGTAAAATTTCACATTGAATCAGGACTTAATGATGGAATACCTTAGAGAAATTGTGCCCAAGAAACAATAGGAGCATGATATAAATGGCCTCAGGAAAAATAAACTATTGGTGTCATAAATCCACTTTCATCCATTTATGTCCCATTCAGTTGTAAAGGTTCTATCCTTTTGGAATTTTTAAAGCTTGATTTTGGGTGAAGCCATAGAAATAAAATAGAGGGTCAAAACATCTGACAATTCTCAATGTTGCCCTGCTCTCAACTGGTTAGTTACTGGTCAGGTAAGAATTTATGTGTGTGCCTACTATATGCAGAATTCTGTGGAGGTACAAATAATTCAGAGGCATATAAAAAATAGGAAAATAAATAGAAGACAGTTTTTGTTCTTTTCTAGATTTCATGCTAGTTAAAATATGGGGTGTATGTACGTGTGTGTGTGTATGTGCAGTGTGACTATGGAAAAAAAAGAAATTTTTAGGTATGTTTTGTGAAACTGCATCTCATTATTACTTCAGTTATAAAGTGCTATACAGTTGCTAATTGTTGCCATTATCAAACTCAACCAGAAAGAATTGTTAAAATGTAAGTGAACATACATTTCTATTTTGGTGCCCTAGTGGCCCAATAGTTAAGCACTTGGCTGCTACCTGGAAGGTGGGCAGAATTGACTTGACAGCACACACAACACAAATTTCTGTTAGTGTGTTAAAAAACAGTAGTCATGAATTTTAATTTGAGAGACATATATAATTAGAATAATACACAAGTGCTCACTGGCTTTTTGTTTAAAAAGAAAATTAAAACTTTGTTTTAAAAAAATGAAAAAAATCCCTGCCCATTATGTTCTGTGTCAGCTAGATCCTAAGCTAATGTTTATGGAGTACATGCTCTGACACCACAGCACATATGCTGCTACTGCTTTATTGCATGAGCTCCACTTTCCTTCTCTGGAGAGAAGCTCTCTCTCAGAGTGTGTCCTTTATTACAGAGCAAGGAGCAAAGATCCCTTTGGAGTTCTCTTTCATGGAGACTGCATGGCCCAACTGACAGGTTGTTAACTAGTGTAAATTTAGTCAAAATGGCTTAGACCCAGTTTCTCTATAGACAAAGTGAAGCAGTGAATTAGTGATGATCAAATAGTCACATCATAAAATTAACTTTTTGTCTCAGTTGCTTAGATAATTTAAAGTAGCAGCTCTTAAAATTTACTGTGCATAAGAATAACGTAGGGAGCTTGTTAAAAACACAAATTCCAGAATCAGACCCTCTGGGGATGCAGAGGGGAATCTGCATTTTTAAACAAGAAGCTCATCTTCCAGCTTCTGCCCTTGCGCCCCTGCTGTCTATTTGCCACAGAACCGTCAGAGTGAGCCTGTTGTTTTAAAACCTAAGTCAGGTCATGTCATCCTTCAGCTCAAAACTCTGATGGCTTCCTGTCTTTCTCAGTGAAAAAGAAAGTCTTTACTGTGTCCTACGAGGACCTTCATGGTTTGCCCTCTCCTCCTTTATTTCTCTCATCTCATGACCTCATCTCCTCATCACACTGGCCTCTTTGCTGTTCCTTGAAACCTGCTTCAGGGCACATGCTCTTCCCTCAGATATCTGCATGACTTGTACCTTTATTTTCTTTAAAGCTTTACTCAGTAGTCACCTTCCCAGGAAATTATTCCCTGGTCACCATATGTACATTTTTAACTCCTGTTCAATATTTCATATCTTTGTCCTGCTTTACTTTGCTCCTGAGCATTTACCACTAACATATATTTTACTTATCTATTGTCTAACTTTCCTCCACCTCAACAGGAAAATAAATTCCATGAAAGTACAAATTTTTATCTCATTTCTTCACTACTAGATCTTCAGTGCCTAGAACACTTAATAAATATTTGTTGAGTAAATTGAATGGAGGAGCACTGTACCTCTATGGTAAGTGATCAAAGATCATATTTTGAGAAATACTGACTTAAACTACCATCACCACTACAATCTTCAAGTAATTATTGAGATCCTCCTCTATACAAAAATGCTATATGAAAATGATTTTGCCTGATTATTTCAAAGACTTGCTCCAAAATTTTATTTTGTATTGGTTCTGAGAATCTAACAACAGAATCCAAGTCCTGTAATCTTACTACTGTTGAGCTAGAGACTCATTGTCTTAGTTACTTACTGCTGCTGTAACACAAAATCACACACACACAGACTAAAAAAACTCACTGTGATCAAATCGATCCTGACTTAAGGCAACACTATACCACAAGTTGTTATTAGGTGCCGTCGAGTTATCTCCGATTCATGGTGACCCTATGCACAGCAGAACAAAACACTGCCAGTTCCATGCTAGCTCCACAATCCTTGCGATACTTGAGCCCATCGCCGCAGCCACTGTGTCAATCCATCTTATTGAGAGCCTTCTCCTCTTTCTTAGACCCTCCACCTTACCAAGCATGACATCATTCTTCAGGGAATGGTCCCTTCTGATAACATGACCAAAGTAGGTGAGACAAAGTCTGGCCTTTCTCGCTTCCAAAGAGCATTTCAGCTGCACTTCCTCCAGGACAGATCTGTTAGTTGTTTTAGCAGTCCACGGTACTTTGAGTATTCTTCACCAGCACCACAAATCAAAAGCATCAACTCTTCTTCAGTCTTCCTTATTCATCATCCAGCTCTCACATGCATATGAGGCAATTGAAAATATCATGGCTTGTGTCAGATCTACCTTTGTCTTCAAGGAGATATCCTTGCTCCTCAGCACTTGAAAGAGGTCCTTTGCAGCCAATTTGCCCAGTTCTATATGTTGTTTAATGTCCTGACTGCTGCTTCCATTGGTGTTGATTGTAGAACCAAGCAAGTAAAGTCCTTGACAACTTCAATCTTTTCTCCATTTGTCATATTGCTGCTTATAGGTCCAGTTGTGAGGATTTTTGTTTTCTTTATATTGAGATGTAATCCATACTTCAGACTGTATTCTTCAATCTTCATCAGTAAGTGCTTCAAATCATCCTCACTTTCAGCAAGTAAAGTTGTTCATCAGCGTATCTCAGGTTGTTAATGATTTTTCCTCCAATCCTGGTGCCTCATTCTTCATATAGTCCTGCTTCTTGGATTATTTGCTCAGCATGCAGATTGAAAAAGTATGGTGAAAGGATACAACCCTGGTGCACTCCCTTCTTGATTTTAAACCATGCAGTGCCCCTTGTTGTGTTCGAACCACAGACTCCTGGTCTACATACAGGTTCCTCATGAGTACAATTAAGTGTTCTGGAATTCTTGTTCCTCTCAATGTTACCCATAATTTGTTATGATCCACACAATCAAATGCTTTGGCACAGTCAATAAAACACAAGTAAACATCTTTCTGGTATTCTTTACTTTGAGCCAAGATCCATCTGACATCAGCAATGATATCCCTCATTCCACATCCACATCAAAAGAATCCAGCTTGCATTTCTGGAAGTTCTCTGTCAATATATTGCTGCAACCATTTTTGAATTGTCTTCAGTAAGACTTTACTTGCATGCAACATTAAAGATATTGTTTGATAATTTCCACATTCGGTGGGATCACCTTTCTTTGAAATGGGTACAAATATGAATCTCTTCCAGTTGGTTGGCCATGCTGTTGTCTTCCAAATCTCTTGGCATAGCTGAGTGAGTGCCTCCAGCTCATCATTGTTTGTTAAAACATTTCAGGGGGTGTTCCATCAATTCCTGGAGCCTTGTTCTTTGCCAATTCCTTCAGTGCAGCTTCAATTTCTTCCTTCAATATCATTGTTTCTTGATAATATGCCACCTTCTGAAATGGATGAAGATCGACCAGTTCTTTTTGGTACAGTGACTGTGTAGTCCTTCCATCTTCTTTTGATGCTTCCTGCATCATTCAATATTTTGCCCATAAAATCGTACAATATTGCAACTAGAGGCTTAAATTTTTTCCTCAGTTCTTTCAGCTTGAGAAATGCCAAGTGTGTTCTTCCCTTTTGGTTTTCTAACTCCAGGTTTTTGCACATTTCATTATAGCAATTGGCTCAGTCTGCTTGAGCTGCTCTTTGAAATCTTCTGTTTCGCTCTTTTATCTTGTCATTTCTTCCATTTGCTTTAGCTACTCTTTCCTCAAGGGCAAGTTTCAGAGTCTCTTCTGACATCCATTTTGGTCTTT